CTTTCTAGCCTGGCTTCTTACACACCACTGAGTCATTCTCCCCACCCTGCTCCCCCAGACTTCAGGAGCAAGAGAGGGAGGGAGGGAATTAGACAGGAAGGAGTGAGCTATTAGAAGGGAGTAGGAGGCATCTAGTCTCCCAGTATCCTGACCAGTTTCCCCAACCCCAGTCGGGGTCACTGCCCCCAACCCTTTCCTGCAGTCCACTTCCCCACCCCCAACAATAAATCCTGCCTTTGTCTTTCTCTCCCAGCCGCCCCAGTAGGCTGGGGGTCAGAGGTTGGGAGTGAGTGTGTATGTGTAGGGGGAGGGGTTGGTGTGTGTAGGAGAAACAGAAGCAAAAGAAGGAAGGTGGAACAAGAGGGAGAGATGGTCAGAAACAGCTGGTGGGCAGGCACTGAGGGGCTAGGGAGGAGAAGGCGAAAGGGAAGTGCACCCCCTCCCGGGGGGAATGGGGCCTCTCTGCTTCATTGATTCAGGCTGCAGCATTTGGCCTGCCAACATTCCAAAAGAGCAGCCCGAAATTTCTGGGAAGAGATGGGAAAACATGGGAATAGCATCCACAGCATGAAGAATGCCAGGGAGATGGGGGAGAGGGGTGGGCTTGAGGCAAAAAAGCTAAGGAAGGTCACCATATAATGGGAATACTGTGGGAATGTGCTGCGCCTTCCCCCAAAATACACATAGGATTTATGGGTCATCAGAACTAGCCAGCCCCAGGAGACCCACCTTTCCCACTGGGCCTTCGAGCCCCTCTTTAATAGTATCTTTTCTGTCCCCTTTCTCAGACTTCCCCTATGCCTTCTCAATCTATTCCTTTCTCAATCTCTTTTGTATTTTCCTCTCCCCTCTACCCCCTTTCTTCCTGTTTCTCCATCTGGTAGCCTGCCTCTTCCTTACTCAAACCATCCCCCTAACCTCTTCCTTCTTAGCCCCTTTTAGCCTTCCCTTTCCCCTTTCCTCTACCCTAGCACCTACAGCTTCAGGGAGACCCCAAGAATCAGGTACCATAGGAGAACTTTTGTGTTTGAGTCATATAAAGGGTTCAGGCCAGCACAGTCTGGATCAGAGATTCTTAACCTTTCTTTATGTGGTGGTCTAATAAAACCAATGGACCCCTTCTCAGAATCGTGTTTTTAAACAATTGAAAAAAATGCTAAATTTTAGTTAGAGGTTATTGAAAAAGAAGATGTAATTTTTTTTCCCATTCAAATTCATGGACTCCTGAAATCTATCCATGGACTCCTCAAGGGTCCATAGACCCTTGGTTAAGAATACTTGTCCTAGTGGAAGAGACTAAAGTATGAAAGGAGGGAGGAAAGAGACTGGAAAAGCCAGTGTTGAAGGCAGAAAACTTAGAGAGGGGTAAGAAAGAGGAGTAGAATAAGAGATGAAGCAGAACAGGGTCCAGTGTGGTGGGAGGTGGTCCCCTGGAGATAGTGGCTGAGAGAAATCCTCTGAGCCAGACTGAGATCTAGGTAGACAAACACAAATAGAGAACACAAACTCAGACTCTGCTAGGAGCCAGATGCCAGGTCTGAAGAGAGGCAGGTTTTGGCTGGGTCTGGCTAAACTCCAGACACCCTTGTCTCCTCTGCAGACAGAAACTAAAGCTGCCTGTCCCCTCCCAGACTTCCCCCCTTGCCCTATTCCCCCTCCCCACCGCAATGACATCAGCTTTGGCTGCTTCTGCCCCCAGTGGCCCACTGGCTCTGCTGATGACACATCACTGGGGTGAACTAAAGGCAGAGGAAAGACTTCACCAGGGAGAAGAGCAGGGGCTTGGGGAGCCCTTGGGGGGATAATGGTAAAGAGGAAGAGGGGCCAGCAGCACTGGAAACAGGGGGGGCCTAGGGCTAAGGGACACTGCGGGGAGAGGGGTAGGGGCTGCGGGGGAACTTGAGGAAAGAGATCTAAGGGGTTTAGGGAGCACTAAATCACCCTGTGGGGGGGATCACCCTGTCTGTGCTCAGTAGGATGGGGAAAGGGTAGAACTGGGGGGAGAGGAGATGAATGGGGGAATTGCCACATCTGGCAGGCAGGTGTTTGGCACAATTAAATCTGCAGTTGATTTCCCAGCCAAAAAAGCTGGGGTTGGGGAGAGGACCTGCCAGAGTTGATGAAGGCTAAGTTTATAAAGCTGAATTGAAGAGGGGTGAGAAGACATACACAGAGACAGGCAGACATGCAGTGAGATGGAGAAAGAAAGAAAAAAAAAACCTGACAGAAACAGTCAGACAAAGATAAACTCAAGATGAAAGTAGCTTGGTGAGTTGGAACCCAGGCATTCTGTTCTCCAGTCTCCTTCCTCAATCCACTATGGATAGACCTATTTGGGAATACTGACAGCTAGAAGTAAGACATAGGTGACAAATACTGGGGTTCCAGTACTGGTGAGGGAGTGGAGGCAGGAAAGGAAGACAGTTGAGGTTTGACTCGGTTGGGAAACTGGGGATGGGTCTGATCAGAATCCAGATGTCTATAGGCATAAATTCAGGGCTTTTGGGGGATGGAAGCGGGGTGCCCTCTTAGCAAACAGGGCAAATCAGAGTCGGGGTTGAAGGGGTTTGGAGGGAAGTTGCATTTCCTGAGCTCAGACAGGAGAGGGCACTGGTAGCTAACCATCAGCCCCGCCGAGCAGCGACTACCCCATCGTGAGCCCCACATTTTAGATGCAGGAGGGGTGGGGAGGGTAATGGGAATTGGTCCAATTCCTAAGGCTTCCTCAGCTTGCCCCCTGGCCCAGCTCTGAGGCTTCAGAAGGAGCAGAGTCAACTGCACAGAAAGCAGCGAGGCCAAATAATTAAGGACCCCCGAAAAGCAGATTTTGCCCGGGGTTCTCTTACTGCCGTTTCCCAAAGATCCCCAAATCCTAAATCCAGCCAGCTTTGCGTACTATCGGTGCCAGTCGCATAGTTCCTGAGTGGGGAAAATCCAACTCTACAACTAAATGAGTACGATAGGAGGGGATAGTTCCGCCGCCGCCCCCCCCCCAAAAACAGAGAAGAGGGAGAATAGGAGTGGGAAGAGAAACAAAGCTTACTCTGTCACCGAGGCAACCATAAAACCTCCAGCTAAATCTATCTTGTGAGCTCACCGCCCCATTAACATGCAGGGCCAGGCTCCGCGCCAGCCCAAGCCACATTCATTTGCGCGAAATAAAGGTGGGGGGAGGGGGCTGTCGAGGAGGGGAAGCAGGGCTCAGGAGGCACAGGGGAGCTTGTGAGAAGAGGTTATTTACACCACCGTCCTGACCTTCTGGAGCAGTGCTGGCTCCGATAAATAACCCGCTCAGCACCGTTTTAGGGGGGGTAGTGGGCTCAGGGAAGGGGAGGAGGTGCAGGAAGGGGAGCCTGTCTGCTGTAGCAGCCCCCATGCAGGTGCATGTCTCCTGGTTACTGATGGCACAGGAAGGAGGCAGCTGGGGGGAGGGGGAGGAGAAGGGAAGGTGGGAGGAAGAATTCAATTCTTTAGACCCCAGACAGGAGAAAACACCACCTGCACCCCACCCTTTAAGCTCATTTCTAGGTGAAGGGACAGAGGGATGCCAAGAAAAAAAAAACCCTGTAAATTATGTTTCGAGAAAGGGGTAAAGGAAATTCCTGAGCTGGAAGAAATGTTGAAAGGTTAGAGAAGGCTGGAAGAGTGAGCACAGTAGCTATCCAAAAGAGGGGCACCTCTCCCCAAAAATACACCAAAGACAATTCAGGAAAAAAAATGCTTTGTTGCCAGTCTTTTGTGCAGAGTAGGGTCCGTGGGCAGCTGCCCTCCATTTCCCACGCACCTGCCCCTGTCGCCATCTCCTTCTCCAGATCTTCTTTTCTGCTCAGAATGTTGCAAATTGGGGGTGGGCAGCTGTGAATGTTTCATAGACTCAGGACAACGGCAGGAGAGGGAACAGAGGTCTGCTTCTTAGGGGAGCCTATGGTATGGGGAATCAAGGAGCAAGGTCACACCAAAGGGTGGTGGTCGATCTTCTGCCTTCCCAGGGAACCTCAAAGCTCACTGATTTAACTGAAGGGGACTGTATTTGACAGAGGCTTCACCATGGGAGAACAAAGCTCCAAACCAGCCCCCTCTGGTGTCCTTGCAGATAAATCTTCACGTTACCCCAACCCGAGTCTCATAAGGGTAATTCTAACTTTTTGTCACTGGCTGTACCCCCCACCCCAACCCCAAAAGAATCCCATATCCTTTTGCCCAGCAGGCCTGAGGAAAGGCCAGCAAGATGGGGAAAGGGTTAAGATCAGGGTTTATAGACACAAGGCTGAAACACGTATCTCAAATGTACAGGGCTACAATGGGGGCTGAGAAACCCAGAGGATGGGAGACATAAATCTGGCCCCCACCCAAATTCTCAGCAGAAAACCCAACTTCCAGAGACTGGAGGCTGAGCTTTCTCATCCAGGAAACTGGCTCTGTCCCAGAATTGGGGAACATAGTATACAAGACCCCATGTTTGGAGATTGACCAAGGATTGAGTAGGCAACAGAGACCCCCAAGATGTACTCTCTCCCAGGCCACAGAACAGTTTGGGCCTATAAATCAGGCCTGGAATGGGGGTTAGGGAGAGCTAGAGTGAATCACTGAGGAAAAGCAGTGTCCACCTCTACTAACCGCCCTCCTCTCCCCACCCCCATCCCATCCCAGTTATGAGTGGTGTCAGGAGCTGTCTTGCCTGCCTCTCTTTCCCTAAGCTGCTTTCTTCCTTTCTCTAGAAGGCTGGGGGTAGTAAGCAGGAGTAAAAGGAAATACATGAGAGACTGATAAAATGTGGGGGCATCTGGATAGAAGTATTCCTCTTCTCCCTGTATTGGGCTGAGCGCCAGGGCACACGCAGGGCGAGAGCAGAAGAGGAAAACAGCATACTCTTTCTAAAACTTTGATCTGGGGGCACCATCCTGGTCCCCTGCTCTGTTCCCAGCTCTGCTAGGGCCTGAGCCACTTCCAGAAACCTCACTGCTTGAATGATAGGAGAGATGAGAAAGCTGGAAAGGACATAACCTCTCTCTTTGTTTAATCCTAGTTTTTGGTCTTCAGGATAATTTTGGGAAGAGGGGGAAAAAGAAGAGAGAAGACAAAAAAAAGTGGTGAGAATAGAAGGCCCTTGTTCCCCTGAAGGCCCTGAGATCATCAGTGCAGTGCAAGAGGGGTGAGGATGGGGGAGTGGAGGCATCACAGTAGACAAATGGCTTTGGGAGGGATGATGGGGGCAGGGGGGGTAATGGAGTCTTCACCGAAGCAGTGACCACTTGATCTGTTCCTTTGCGGACTGCAGTACCTGCAGACACAGAAGCACCCCACAGTGAGAGCTTGGTTGGGGAAATGGGGGCCTTCCCATTTTTCTTGGGGTTGAGTTTCCTACTCTCTTTACTTCCCTCCAAAGTCTAGTTTCCTTAGTTTATGAAAGGATATTGAAAATACTGTGGGGGTTATGGGAAGCTACATCCAATCTAAGATGCAGGGCAACTATGGATAGCCTGTTAGTTTTCTGAATCCTTCAAAGAAAAAAACTTGAAGGAAAAGAACATATCAGCTGGGGAAAATGCCAAGAAAAATGGGCTCTAAGGTACAATTCCTGATAAAAATTCCCAGCAGGCAGAAAACAAAGTCCCTCCCCTGTATCAGGTAAGACAAGTGATAGCTAAAACCAAGGAAGGATGGATGTGTCAAACCTGCACATTCTGGAATGTGCATTCCCAGCTTTGCCCTCATTTGAATAATAAGAGAGAGGCAGCACAAAGACCATCTGCTTAAGGCAAGCCTCTGCTGGGGAGTAAATCACCGGATGAGGCTGCAGGCTGGGAGGGTTTGAAGGGTACAGAGAAAGGCTGAGAGCTATCGGTCACAGAAAACTGGGGTGTGGGGTTGGAGGGGAAGGAGATTGGGCGATCCCAGTGGAAAGCACATCTCAGGTCTCTGCAATGGTGGGGGCTGAGTGGAGGATGGAGGCTGTCTTACTCTAGGGCAGAGATTCCTCATCTCCCATCTCTCCCCTGGACTGGTGAGTACTAGGTAGAGGTAAAGGAGGGAAGTCAGGAACATACCTGAGACACAGTCTGCTCTGTAAGGGGGACATCTTCACCCTATAATAGAGAAAGGCAGTCAGAGTACAAAGCTAGAACAAAAATCTCCTGAGGGAAAGCAGCCTAACAGGCTTTGGTGGGGGGAAGAGGGATGGGAAAAATGATTTTCCTTAAACTGAAATCTAGTTAGAAGACAGATAACTCCAACTCTGTCCCTCCCCCCACCCCAGAGAAAGGGGTATAAAATAGGCTGTACCTTCTCACAGGCACAGATCTGATTAAGGAACTTATTTTACCCAGCCCCCGCTTTAGGGGCAGGATGACCTTATAAAAAAGATCCAGCCCACCTGGGTGTTCTGATCTCCATTTCCCTCAGCCTATGGTGGGAGGGGGGTGCTGACTTCCTAGTCAGAGAAAATTTTTCCATGAATATCAATCTCATTGGGGAAGGGATGAGGGGAGGGCTGGGGTGGGGGGGTATAGTTTAATGGATCCTGCAAGGCCTAATGGGTAACAACAGCATGTTAATTTGAATAAACTGCTGCAACAGCAGCCCAAGAAGGGAAGGGGGGGGAGTGAGGGTGGGGTGGGGGAAGACCCTCCCTCTTTCCACATGGAGACATATGTTAGAGAAGAAGATTAAACTATGCAAATGGAGCCTGTGACAGTTAAGGGAGAAGACGTTTCCCATTACCCAGCACTGTCAGCTTCTGCTCTGTGGAGGTCAGAGTCGGGACATTCCTAGAATGGGGAGTCAAATTTGCTTCCCCCAACTCCTTCATTCCTTCACTATAACTTGCTATTGTGATGTTCCTGCACCTGCCCCCAGTGCTAAATACAAGTATGCTTCCTCTTTACCCTAAATGTCCCCTTTCAGGATTTCCACCAAAAGGAAAGATGCAGAGAAAGACTTCTTGCTAGAAAGGTTAGAAAAGGTAATTCAGAAGATGACTGAGTTTCTAACTCAATAGATTTGAAAACAAAGTGAAAGTTCCCATCTGGGATGGTTGGAATGCTGTCCCATCTCTGAGTACTGAGATTACCTGTCAAGTTCCTTTTAGCTCCAAAACTCTGAATACTATAAATCCACTGATCATTTAAACATTCATTAAGCAGCTATGACATGCAAAGAATTGGATTTAGGTGAGGGAGGGTTGTGCAGTCATCAGCCCCACTTTCTCTCCGGAGCCTTCTGGGTCCACTGGCCAGATATGGATCAGGACAAGTGGAGAATTCACTTTCATGTCATTGCAACCTCTGTGAGCAGAGAAGGAACTGGGGGCCAAACCTCGAGTTGGGCAACACAGCTTGCTTTTCTTTCTTTCTTTTTTTCTTTCTTCTTGATCCACCCCTACCTGTTGGTGCTCTGATCAAAGGGAATGTAAATTTTACTCTCTGAAACTTTTTTTGTTTTGTTTTGTCTTCTTTTAAAGACCAACCTTAACCCCAAATCACTCTGGTCCCAGACCAAGCCCTACTTGGTGGTCACTGTTTGGGCCCTGATTGGCTCAGAATGAATGTAATAACAATCGTTTCTGTTTTGGTCAGAAACCCTGAGGGTCTTCCCCTCCCAGATCTAATTTTTTGTTTTTAAAGAGACCATTCTTGCCTCGTTTTTTTTTTTAAGCCTTAATCATTGAAATGCTGCCTCAGTCAAACTGAGACATGTTAAAGGCCTTAGCTTGAAAAGGCCAAGGCCCTCCATTGCATCTTCAGTTGTTCTGATCCATATCTGGCCACTGGACTCCGATGGCTCCGGAGGACAGGGTGAGGCTGATGACTTTGCACAGCTCTCTCTCACTTAAATCCAATTCACCTGCATGTCATGGCATCCCCTCCCTGATGCCATGGTCCCCTTTGAGAATGAAGAACAAACAGCAAGAAGGAAGAGCAACAGCAGCAGCAAACACTGAGCAACTACTATGGGTAAGGCGCCTTAGCTCTGCTAAACATTAAAGAGAAACTCCCTCCTGTCCCCTTCAATGTGACTGCAGGAAGGGAGGTTTTTTGAGTCTAGGCTCTTGGACAGAGTTAAGTCAGAAGCATTCAGGTGTGGAATGAGTCTGGCCCTGCAGGGCAGGAAGGTACTTACCCGCAATGCTACTCTGTGTACCACTTGCTGGGGGTCACTCTCTAGAATCACCCTGTGGAGATAAAACAGGAAACTTGCACCCACCATACCCAGGACAAGACCCACCCAGGAAAGACAAGGATGTCTCCACTGACACAATGCCTTATATTAGAGGAGAACTGGGGGGGTGGGGGTGGGGGGACTCTCGGATTTGAGAATCAGAGCAGGGGCAGCTAGGTGGCGCAGTGGATAGAGCTCCAGCCTTGGAGTCAGGAGGACCCGAGTTCAAATATGGCCTCAGACACACGACACTTACTAGCTGTGTGACCCTAGGCAAGTAAATTAATCCCAACTGCCTCATCAAAAAGGCCAAAAGAGAGAGAGAGAGAGAGAGAGAGAGAGAGAGAGAGAGAGAGAGAGAGAGAGAGAGAGAGAGAGAGAGAATCAGAGCAATCCCCTCCTTTCCCAATCCAGAGCCAGCCCACAAGACTCACCCTCCATCTACGATCTCATCTACAGCCAGGAAGAGTCCTTCCATGTTCTCTAACAGTGCTCGCTTCTCAACATTCTTCCTGGGACCAAAAGAAAAGAAGGAAGCCAGGTCATAGGAAGGAAGAATCTGGAGACACTAACTGTAATGGCCTGTAGAATTACTCAGTCTTTTCAGGATAAACCAAGAATCCCTCACCCACAACACACCCAGATGGGGATGGGGGCAAGATAAGAAAGAGAATGTACCTTCTCACAGCTGAGCAAACTAGCACCTAGTTCTCCCGCCCTTCCTCAGACACCTGGATCATATGACTTAGAGCTGGGAAGGACTTTCATGATCATACAATTGAAGACCCTCACTTGGGGCAAAGTCCCAAAGTGCTTTCCAGAATGGCTGCACCAATTCATGGCTCTACCAACTGTACAGGAATGTGCCTGTTTTCCTGAAGCCCCTGCAACATTTGTCATTTTCCCTTTCTGTCAACTCTGTCAGTCTGATGGGAGTGAGGTAGAACCTCAGAGTTGTATTTTTCTAATTAGTGATTTGGGGCATTTTTTTTCATGTAGCTAGAGAGATAGCTTGGATTTCTTCCCTTAAGGACTGCCTATTCATATCCTTTATCCATTCATCAACTGGGGAATGGCTCTTGTCCTAATAAATTTGAGCTAGAAACCACTTCATTTTACAGATAAGGAAACTGAGGCCAGGGGAAGGTAACCAACTTGCCCCAGGTCAAATGCCTCAGATAGTAATAGTCATCAGTATACAGCACTCTGAGGTTTGTAAGGTGCTTAACAAGGGTTACCTCATTAGCTCTTCACAACAGCTCTAAGAAGTATGTACTATTATCATCCCCAGTTTACCAAGAGGAAACTGAGTGAGAAAGGTAAAAGGACCTGCCTAGGGTCCCAAAGCTACTAAGAGTCTTCCTGCCTCTTACACACAGGGTTTTAGGTAACAGAATGAGGATCCAAATGCAGTGCTCCTTCCACAATGCCCCCCTGCTTTTCCTTCTCTTCTTTACCTTCCCATGCTTGTTTCCTAACACAGAATCAGGGATTATCAAGCCTGTGCTACTGAAGATGAGGTCAGTTCCTGAGCAGCTCAACCTCGCTTCTTCCCTCTGTGCTCCATAAACACTGACATCTCTCGAGATCCCTGCTAGGATATTTCTGAAACATGGTTGTTTGGCATCTGCTTGAACATTCCAAGAGCCTGAGGTAGCCCCACTAATTTCAGCTCCAGTTATTCGAGTTCCTTCTGCCACCCCAAATCTGCCTCCCTACAACTTCTGTTCAACAATCCTACCTGTGTCCTCTACAGCTACCCAGAGAATCCCTTATCATGGGACAACTTTTCAAATCGCTATCCGCACACACAGTACTCCTAATTCTTTGCTTTTCAAAACTAAACACCTCCAGGACGTCAGTTCATCTTCCTAAGACAGGATTCTGAGACTCATAATCATCCCGATGACCCTCCCCCATTACACATTCCAGTTTGTCAGCATCCTCCTCAGAACTAAACACAATGTTCCAGATGTGACCCGACTAGGGAAGACTGAGGTGGCCCCGTAATCCTCTTGTTCTGGACTTGATATTTTTGTCACCATCATCTACCATCACTTTAAACCTCTGAGCTGCCAGATCACACTGTGGTCTCATGGTGAGCTTGCAGTGACCTAAAACCCTAAGTGGGCACAGAGGGGAAATAAAGGAGATCCAAGTTGAATGGGGGAAAAATGATCATCTATTTATACTACCTCCCACATGTAACTCCCCAAAGACCTTATTTAAAAGTAGGATCTCAGAACTCCAAATGAGCCTTGAAGCACACTGGCCAGGTTTTCACAAGATATGAAGTGAGGACTCCCAAGTAACACCTGAGCTGAGGCCCCCTGACTGAACTGAATTGGGTGCTGGGTGTATTTGGCCAGTAGCATCACTCCACTGAATTCTGTCTTTAGCCCTGATCTACTCTTTCACCTGGAAGCTAAATCACCGTCTTGCTGAACAAAAGGGAGTTATACACCTCCCCGCTTTGTCTATAATGGACAACTATAGAATAACAACTAGAGATTTTAAGAAAAGAAGCCAATGTCTATCCCTACCCATCTGCAATGGATAATATAATCTGGGGCTGAAAGGAAATGGAGGCTGTCTATCGAGGAGAGAGACCAGTAGTGGGTAGCAAAGATTTGTGGGTTCTAATCAGGTCACTGCCATCCTCCCCTCCTAAAGTCCTGGAGCTTCTACTTTACTACCCCACACCATAGCCTTATATTTGTTCTTCCTTTAAAAGGTTTCTTGTACTCCTGTGCAGATCCATATCCTCCACATGAATTCAGCTAGGTAAGAAGAGCAGGGCAAAGGGCACCCCTATTCCACTAACTGGGAAAACTGGGTGTCAGAAGGCAGAAATGACACAGCCAAACTGGGTCAAGGCTCAAAGTATCAAACACTAGTCCATTAATGACTTCTCTGTAACAATCTTTCTTCTTCTTTTCCCCTGACATCCACAGGGAAGAGACTGAGACCTAAGGAAGAAGAGGCAGCAGGTAATACAAAGAAAACTGAACTGATAAACAGAGGATATGGATTCAGAGACCTATATCTGGGATAATGAGCAAATCTCATAACCTGAGCCTTATTTTCCTTGTTTGTAAAATAGGGATACTAATGATATTACCTCATTAGAGCATCACAGAATGAGAATGTATGTAAAACACTCTGTAAAGTGTAAAGAGTTACAGAAATGTGAGCCATTATTCTTTAAATTACTAGGAGCTCTCTGATTGGGACGTACAAAGGATGCTGCAGATTCGGCTCGCTGCTGTACCTATCTTTAAATGGAAGACTATCTTCATAGGAGATGGCACTCTGTCACAATCTGAATCGACGGGGTAGATCTGCCTCATCCCTAGGAACTTCAGCTGAAACAACTCCCAGTAGGGCGCACTGGGTCCTAAAGGACAGTCACATGCTTTCCCCCAAACCCCCAGAGATGGCCTGACTTACCTCAGCATCTGGCTCAAAGAGTCAAAGAGGCAGTTCAGAACAGCCATTAGCATCAGCTGTGAGAGCAAACAGAGGAAGGCAAAGGTTTGGTGAGGGGCCTAGAAACCATCAGCTCTTTCTGAGAACTAAATCCTCTAATGTTGCTGAAAGACAGAAATGGTCCACACAGAAAAGCCCCAAAGTTGGGAAAGAGCTGATTAGAGGGAGAGGATTCTGTGACCGTTAGCTACTCTTACCCAGAACGTCTAGTCTGAACCCTTTGGTCATGCCTTTGCCTTCATGGGGGCCCTCAACTGAGGTGACTGGATGGAAGGTCTGACCTCAGCCTGTGAGGAACAATTAACTACTTTCTACATGTCCCCTCCACCCATGAGATGATATGTTAAGGTGAAACATCATCCTGCAACGAGAGGGGGAGGGTTCACCACCAGCATGAACCAAGGAGTGGACAAAATGACCCAGATTCCAGCAAATGTGATCCAAGGTTGGCCATTTCAAAGCTTGGAAAAGACTCATTCATCACTTTACCTTCCTTATCCCGATAAAGCATGCTGATGGCCACTCACCACCAAGAAGCTTGTGTATTGTACACAGAAGTAAATGGTGAAAATATGAACAATGTTTCCTACTTGGTGGTGACAGATTGTTTTGGGAAGATCTTTCTGGCTGGTCCATTTTCTGAATTTGTTTATGAGGCTAACTTCTATTAATGTGGCATAATAAAAAAAAGCACCAGACAAGGAATTCACATGGGTTCATATCCTGACTGCCATTTATTAACTAGGTGATCTCTGAGCTCAATTTCCTCATCTATAAAATGGAGAAAATACTACTAGCATTCTTACACTTCCCAAGGATCAAATAAGAGAACGAATGCAAAATACTTTATCAACCTTCAAGCTGACATAATAATAGTTACTAATCAAGGCCTATTCCAATGTATTATTCAGGGTGTGGAGATGACCCCGCAAAGGTTATGCTAGTAGAGCACAAGCTCCTGGGGAGGGAAGGATGTCCTACCAGACTAGAAAAATAGTCCATCATCCAAGGACCTGGCTAATTAAGTTTGGAGAGGCTCATTACCAGAAGGTTGGCCACGGCAACTAACGAAGAACAGACAGCAACTATTAACATAAGAAAGAGCTCACATTTCTATGGCACTCTAAAGGTTTACAAACTGTTTTTCTTATAACAATTTAGTGAGGTAGATATTATTATATCAATATTATTAGCCCCATTTTACAGATGAGGAAACCATGCTCAGAGAAGTTAAGGGACCTGCTCAGGATTGCACAGCTAGTGGCTGTTCAAGACAGCTCCCAGGTCTCCAGTCTCCAAGCTAAGTTCTGTTCCCTGGACCTCACTGCCTCTCTTAGTAAGGGAGGATGGGGGAGACAGGATCATCTCAACTGGCGAAGGGTACTTGCAACTGGGAAATTACTGACATTTCAAAGTATTGAAGAAATTGTAAGACTGGCTGTAAATACTGACTTCATTGGCCCTGTTAAAAGTAGACAGGGTACTGAAAGTGCTCCAAATTGTCTTCTGGGTTGAGAAGGGAAAAGAGAGATGGTCCAACAGGTGGACTTAGTCAACAATCCAGGGACTGAGGGACCTTACCTCGTTTTCATAGGAACTGCCAATCACATAGAAGTAGAGGTCAATGCTGCCTTTATACACCACAGTCAGGCCTTCCAAGAGGGCAATCTCACCTGGAGAACAGATAGAGGGATGACCTGAGGGCCCAGGGCAATGAAGGGAGGAGCTAAGAGGAGCCAACATGCAGGGACCCAAACAACTGAAAGATGGTTTGTTGTACAGTGGCCTCCCAGGGCTTGGGCAAGGCAGGGGGGATAAGCTCCTAAAATGAAGTTCTTTCTCCCATTTGGAGACAGGGGTTAGGGGTGGAAGGGTAGAGCCAAGGGGAGTTTAGCCAGATCCTCCCACTTCCTCCCCATATTTCCTTCCAGTCAATCCTTTGGAGGTGAAAATGCAGAGCGGTCACCTTTACAGACTTCCATTTACCTGCCCTAATGGATGCGGTACAATAAGCAGAGCTGCAGTTAAATTTGTCAAGTGAGGCTCATAAATCCAGGGAGCAGACAGGTAGCTAACAGCCAACCTTCCAGTACAGTATTCCCGAGTGAGGTACACTCACCTCCCCATTCCATTTCTGAAGAGTTTATTACTGGGGAGGAATGGGGGGGGAGAGAAAAAACCAGGGGGCTGAGCAGCAGCCTCCTCTTCTCCTCCAGTGCGGCAGCCCCACCTCTCCGCCCCTGCTTCCCATCCTAGCTCCAGAGGGGGGGAGGGAAACAACCTACTGTCAGTCCGGTGGGTCTTGTTGAAAATGTTCTTCTCAAAAGCCTTCTGCTCCTTGACACTGGGGTAGGTGTCGTCATAGTACTGGTGGGAGGGAAGAGGAAGGGGCAGTGAGAAAAACTGAGGGAGGTGGGTAGGGTGCCTAGGGAAAAACAACTGAGTGTTGACTGCTTTGCTTCTCCATCTTAACACCTGACAGTCCTCCTCTGTCACATGCCCCCCACACCTCTACAGGAGCAGCAAAGAGAAGAGAGGACATTGAAAACAGAGAGAAATAGACACTTAACCAAAAAGTATGAGGGGTGAGGAAAAGGCAGGGTAACCTTGTACATTTCTGCTGAAGGGCAGAGGGAGAAGAGCCCTCCCACAAAGCCCCCAAGCCAGGGGTCCCACCAGAAGGCAGCTGAAAAGGCTTGGCTCCTTTCCACACCCCAAGCAAGAGCTCCTGGGACCATTCCAGTCAAGTTTTTCCTGGGAGCTACTGCAGTGCCGGCAGAAATGTCAGCTTGGCCCCTTCTGATTTCCAGGGAGCTCAATAAACATTGTGCCTTTGTCACCAACAGGCACAAAAGACCCTGGGAGACAGTGATGCACGTCCCTCTCAGATCTGAGTTCCCACTCATCGCTACGGGGAGCTAAAGCTTAGGGAAAGGCTTTGATAACCTCCCAAACGAGAAGCAAACCGTTCTCTTTTCTTTCCCATTTCTCCAGATCTTGACTTCTAAGAGCAATTGAATCAGGAGCCAATTTGACACATTACTGAGCCCACTGACAAGGGGGCAGGGACCCGGACTGCTAAATCGTTCTGCTCTTTAGGGGCCAATCCGTCGCAGTCAGCTGAAGACCTACGACAGATCTGGCATTTAGTAACTGGATAACTGTTTCAAAAGGTGTCCTGCATAGTTACATCCAATTACAGGGAGGAACAGCTGGTGAATTCTAAACTAATCTCTACCTGCTGATTGATTTATGCTGTGCTCACCCAGAGTTAATACACCAGGGACAGAAGGAATTTCTCCAGAAGGGGGAGAAGGTGGTTGGGGGTGGAACAAGGGAAGGGGAAGCAGCATCCTTTCCCTTCTCATTCACCAGATCCAAAACACTATGCTGCGGTGGTTGAAGGGTAATTGGGCCAATGGTGATTCTAGACACAAAGCTGAAATCCTGGGCTTACACATGAAGGGTGGGAGGAAGGGACAGGGACCCTGAGGTTCTGGGCGCTCTGTTTCCCTACAGATGATTTTTGTTCAGATTGTGATACATCTCCCCATTTGGAAAAAAAAAACCATCAAAGATGCAGCATGCATTCTCTCCAGTGTGAAAGGAGAAAATAAACAGGTTAAAGGAGGGGACTAACGGGCAGAGAAAATGAGGTGGAAGAAGAGCACCTGTGAGGAAATATCTGGAGGCCTACAAGGCAAGGAAGGGAAAACGCTCCAAAGCTCTGACTCCTGAGAGAGTGGAGGGGAGACAGCAGGGGCAGCATTCTTGAGGCATATAAATCTGCCTGTGTTCTCACCTTGGCAAAGAGCCGCTCTCCATCATTGTCCAGGATCAGGATGGCTTTGACTGTGTACAGAGAAGGTTCCTGAAGAGACACGGATTGCTTTTAGTTGCAGGGGTTCCCACCAATGCTGACAGCCCAGATCCCACCCCTCTCCCCTACTGGGTTGTTGATGGAGGATTTTAGTGTCCTTGCAAGTCCCCTATCCCAGGTTCATCTCAGCTAAAAGCCCCCAGATCACAGTGAGTAGGAGCTCAAAAGCAACTGAGCATGACTGAAGGGTATATGCAGAGCTGGGAATTGTGAGGTACCATTTTAGCAGAAAGTTCTCAATAAGCATTAGAAAAGCACATTTCCCCAGAGAAAAGCCCAAGACAGGTCCCAGTCACCACTGAGCAATGACAAGGCAGATCAGAGAGGCTATTTTATTCAATAAACATGCTGAACCCCTATTCAAGGGGCCTCCCCAACACACCACCTGCATATAACCACCGAATGTCAATCAGAAATATTCTTTGCTGTGGGATTAACAAGGGCTGCAGAGGAACAATTTAGGGATGAGGATAAGCATACTCAGTATGCTCTGGCTGCAGCAGCAATGCAGACCTACAATGCGGCAGCAATGCGGAGGAGGAAAGTAAACCCTTAACAAAGCCACTTCCATTCTGAACTGATGGTGTGTGTGTGTGTGTGTGTGTGTGTGTGTGTGTGTGTGTGCTGCCACATCATCTCCCCCCCCATTCCTCTGATGGTAGTGTCCCCTACCCCCACCCTCCCCCTCTAACTGTAATGCTACCTGGGATTCCTGTGTCAGTTTCTTGGGCCTCCCCTAAAAATCCCAATCTTTAACTAGGGACTCAGATCACCACTACCAAAAATGCAGGTACACAAGCTGGCCTGCAGTTCTGGGATTATAAGCAAAGAGGAGACCTATCTGAGGAAGACTGAGAGGCAGTCAGAAGGGGAGCTTCCTCTCACTCTGAGCTGCCAAGCTTTAAGTACACCAGTTTCTTTGTGAAGGAAGGCACTCAAGGAACCCCTCTCTCCTTTACTGCAAACATAATACAGCTCCTTTCCTGCCCCACAACGCCCCACAGCCACGGACGCCTGAGACGACTCCCTTGAAGCTTTCAGGAAACAGGCCCACTGGGGGGTGAAGCAAAGAGTATACCCGAGGAAGGGGCTCCTAGATTCCTACTACTTCCCTCTCTAATCAGCACTCCTTCACGGAGATGCCCCAGTGTTTGTGAAGAAGCTGATGATGACTATGAAGTGAAAACAAAAGGATTCAATAAAACTTTAAGTTAAAAAAAAAAAGATATTGCCTGGCCTAGCCTAGTAAATCCCCACCCAGTACTAGAAGGGGCCAGGCCCATCCTCCCAACAAACCTGGCTCTTGTCAGAGGCTAACAATAACCTAATGGAAGGGAGAGGAAAAGACAGCCAAGAGCCTAAGGCCTCTGTGAAGGTAAACTGGTGAAACAGGACTCTAAGGAGCTTTGGGTCACCTCCGCAACATGCCTGACCCGAGGGAATAGGAATGATCTGGGGGAGAGTAAAGAGCATCCATCAAGACACACTCAGTAAAAGGAAGAGTACTGAGGGATCTAAGCAATCCTTCTACACCTAAATCTCCAAATTTAGATGAACCTGCTGGGCAAATCTACTTGTCTAGATAAATCAAATCATTACCATCAATCCCAATTTTGACTATATAGAAAAGGCAACTACTCTCCACCCCTTGCAAAACTCCCTTAACAGCCACTTTCCAAACACTAATCCCTATGGGCATAGGATACAGGGAACTTATGACTGGAGAGTTCTTAAAATCTTATGGTCCTGACCCACTCTTCACTGCCCTCGAGGACCCTCGAACCCTGCCCACTGTTTTCAACCTTGGAGAAAAGGGCCTAAGTGGCTCCTCTCTTATAAGAGGCTGTTTCTCTGTGGCCAATTAAGAGACTACATTGAAAGAAAAGGGAGGCAAAGTGTTGTGGCCAGCTGTGCCTAGCAGAGTCAACCACAATCTTCACGACGTCTGGGTACTCAAGTCCAGCTGTTCACCTGGCTCTTAAGCTCACTGCAAAGTCTCAGCAATGGAACATACGAAATTATATATATACACTTTATGTTCTACTATAAACAACAGGAGAAGGGTAATGACAGCAGAGGATAAAGAATGTCACTCTCCAAAGCTCTGTAAAGAGAGAAGGTCCTACGAGTCAGTGTGCCTGTTCAAACCGAACAGAGGTTGAAACAAAGCAAGGAACTGAGTTCTCCAGGTAATTCCAGCAAAACGTCTCCCCAGTGACTCAATCCCCACCTTCATTCTCAACTATGCTTTGAAGCAAGCAGCTCCCTGTGCTAGTCTGATTCTTTCTTGGTGGGCTCTTGGGGCAGCGCCCTTACCTCTCAAACAGCAGAAAGACCCAGGGTTCTCCTGCCATAAAACAGACTGGTCTAAAGCCTTCGGAAGTCATTACTGATAATGTCATTTCATATGAAATTTTTGCAAAAGGACAGGTTTATAAATAACTGCCTGTTATCAGGAAGGACTGTACTTCCTGCACAATGGACCAGGCTTGACCTTTGAACAGAGGCTAAGGGATGGCTGCTGAGATAGCACTACTGGCCTGTGGAGATGTTTGGAGAATTCAGAAGTCTGTCCTTCTGCTCCACTCCCCCAAAAAAGACAGCTGCTTGAAAGCTTTCGAGACAAAGTTCTGTGATGCACTGACTTTCAGAGAGCCACAGTCTGAGTGTATAACAGAACTTCACCTCAAATGCTAATGATGCCTGGAAAATGGTGGGTGGAAGGAAGTTGAGGGGGAGCCCAGGAGTCAGAGAGCTTTTCAGACAAGCACGTCCCTCTCTTGGAAGCAACTGGGATGCTCTCTCCAGCAGAGCTGAAAGAACGAGCAAGTAAGGCTTTGATCTCAACTGAAGGGCTGGTGGAAAACATCAGCACCTTCCACATATGCCCTCTGCAGTACAGATAAGGCCAGTGGGTCAGGCATTCCCAATGCTGCCCCCTATGGGTCTCGCTGCCCACCTGCAACCACACTTCTTAACCCTTTCTTTGCCAGGCTTCAATAAGCAGAAGAGGAGACAGCTGTGAGATATAAGATAATTAGAGAAATCTGAAGAGATATTTAAGTCATTTAGTCGGACCTCATCATTTTGCAGAAGAGGCACCTAAAGGCTGACTTGCCTAAAGTTGCAGTGTTGGTGAGAAGCACACTCAAGACTGATTTAAGTTCATTTCATGCTGTAAGTATTCAGAAAACACTGCTGAGAAAGGACCTTGATGTGACAGCTGAGGGTCCATAACTAATTAACTGATCTATCCACGAGAAGAAGAGAGAGCAGTGACTGGAAAATGTGGGGATGCCATCCAAATGGCGGTAGAGAAAAAGTGAGGACTGGAAGGAGGGCCAAGCTGGCTCCCCCCCACCCCATGAAGGCAGTTAGGTCCCACTCACAGAGCTCACCTGCCATGAGAGAAAGGACCCCCAGTGAGGACATTATACTACCATCCACCACTTCCCTTTTCCCTGCAGATGAATGAGCACTTAAACCTGTCAAAACAATAAGAAAAGTATGTGCACGAGACAGGTGGGGAGTTCTGAGCTCTGATCCTAGTCCTGTGTGGCCAGGCCAAATGTTTTTCTTTCCTACTTTCTTATTTTACCCAGTTGGAGCTCCTCCAAATTCAGTCCTTGCTTGCCACTAGACAGGAGCAGATTTCACACACAACAGTACCTTGTCCAGACACGGGGAGCCCAGAAGTGGGAGGCCTCATACATCTTCCTCAAGTGACATCTATTTAGATCAGACCAAAAACTGGCAAGAAAAGGAAAGTAAGGAAAGGCCTGAAGGAAAATGGACACTGGGGAGAACACTGTGAGAAAATCCAATGGGAAGACACCTTCCCAGAAGGCGAGCAGACCTGACTGTAGTCACAGATGACAGGTTTAGAGCAGAAAAGGACCTTGGAGGTTAGCTAGTTCAATCCCTTCATTATACAGGGGCAGAAACTGAGGACCAAGGAGATAAGATGACTTGTCCAAGATCACACAAGAAGTGGGAGAGTTGGGTTTGAACCCAGGTTCTCTGAATTGAGAGTGAGTGTCCTTACCACACAGTATTTGTTAAGCACCTACTATGTGCCAGGCATTGTGCTAGTTAATGAAGAGATAAAGAAAACAATCAATGAGCCCTTTTCCTTAAGAACTTACATTGTGTTTCTTGGGGTGGGAATGGGAAACTATACTTAAATACAAAATCAGATACAAAATACATACAAAGTAATTTTCAGGGGAAGGGCAAAGATAAGGTTCCTGAAAGAGGCTGCACCTGACAGGAACCTATGAGACAAGTGCTGAGAAGGTAGCAGACTGCAGGCACAGGGGGTCAGCCTGTACAAAGGTGGGGAGGTGGGGGATGGAAATATATGTACGTGTGCTTGCTTCTCTGTCTCTTGGCACAGCGCACACACATACACACACACACACACACACACACACACACACGTTAGCAAGCCAGGTGGGTGAGTGATTAAGAGCGTAAGGGAGAGTACCGGACAATAACATGGACAGGCAGGCTGGAGCCATAGTGCACTCCAGGTTGAGGAGCCAGAGGGAGCCATTGTAGCATCTTGAGCAGGGGTAACACGGTCAGACCTGTGTTTTAAAAATATCATTCTGACACTGTCTGGAGGATAGATTGGGAAGGGGTGAGAATAGAGGCAAGAAGGCCAATTTGAAGGTTATTGCAATAGTCCAGGCAAGAAATGATAAGCAGGGGCAGCTAGGTTGTATAGTGGATAGAGCTCTGTCCTTGGAGTCAGGAGGACCTGAGTTCAAATCCGACCTCAGATACTTGACACTTACTAGCTGTGTGACCCTGGGCAAGTCACTTAACTCTGAATACCTCACCAAAAAAAAGAAAGAAATGATAAGCATCTGAATTATGGCTGTGAGTACATAAATGGAAATAAGGGGGACACATGTCAGATACATTGTGGAGGCAGAAAGGACAAGCCTCAGCACTGGTAAGCCATGAAGGGAAGAGAGGTAAAACTG